AAAATAATATAACAAGTTATGGTGCAGGGGCTGTATCCCCTTAAACAGGCTCCTTTCTGGAAAATAAGTTCCCTCTACAGTAATCAGCTTGTCACTCAGGTGTTGGGTTTTGTAGGCTTGCTGTTTTGACATGGCCCTGGAGTGAAAACATTCAAAATGTTCAAGAGTGGGACAGTGAATATGTTGGAGGGATGATGAGGACTGGGAGTTTGAATAACCCTGTTGCTTAGTGGAACTATCTCCCAAGCTCTGGCTCACGGTGGTAGTAGCGGAGTAGGTACTGCTGATAGTAGTTGTATGTGCAGAATGTACAGTACTAGTTGTCTTGCTGACAGCTCTAAGGCCTCCTTTTTCTGCTTCTTCCCTCAGTCAGTAAAACAGTTGTATGGTGTCTTTGATACGTTGATTAAAAATGCAGTAGTTGATTCAAAAACACATCACTTTCCCACTACTCCTTACTGCACAATTTGCACTTTGCAAATCACCCTTCTTGAAGGCACTCAAGTGCTCCCAAATTTTAATTTGATGCAATACAACTCTTTGCCTTGTGGCAGCTAAAGATGCAGGTGTTTTATCAGTGGAAGCTGTTGCAGCACTAGCCTCTACACTAGCACTTGGTTGACTAATGCTAATGGGAAGGGAAGAGGTGGTGTTAATAAGATCATTAGGTGAGCTACTTGTGGCACTGGTAGCAGATTATGCTTCAACTGTTTCTATTAAAATGAGGCGATTCAACAAAAATAGACTTAGGCAAGATGCAGGAAATGAGTGCACACAAGAGTAAGTAGTGGACTGCTGCCTCTCCTCTTGTAATTTGTTTGGCTCAGTCATGAAACTCCTGGGACAGACCTAAACTACCATCTGCAGAGATATCATTATCAGGTTCATCACACCACAAAGACATTTTAGAAACACTACTTTGGTATTCTGCTCTACCTCTTCAGTAAAAAAGTTCTCTGATGGCACCAACAAAATCTCTGCTGAAATCTCCTTTTGTTGCTTCTTGGGTGGCTCCAAGAACTAGTGTGTAACATTTGGAACAACAACAAATCCACTGGTGTCACCGAACTTATGCTTTACACACAATAAAGAACTGAAGCTGTAATACTTGAGCTAGCAGTGGATCTGCAGTGGCTGTGGCAGTGGAAGCACAGCAGAATCTATTGTGGAGCTGGTAGTTGCCTTTGTGGGCCTAGATAACTCTTCTGCTGTGACAACATTGAAGATGGTGGATTTGTTTTTGTATTAATAAAATAAATTAGGATATGAATGTGTATTGTGTAAACTAACAACTTTTAAATCAAAATAGATGTTTAAGTTGACAAAATGAGTTGCTGCTTGGTGTATTTATGTAATGCTATTGTGTTTGACTTTAAGAAACACTACCCTGCACAGATAACACAAAAAAAAAAAAAATTTTACAAATTACTTGGCACACTCAAAATCAGTGAATTAAAGTTGGTGTAGGTTATACTAGTAGTGGTTATGCACCGCAGTAACCTAACCAGTCTTACACTATGATTAATTAACCTGTTAGACAGGCTATCAGTCAGAGTTGGTGTAAGTGGCAGTAGCTAGGCATAGTATCAAATTCATCCATTCCAGTCTCACACTAGGATAAACGACTCACTTAGAGTTGGTGTAAGAGGCAGAGGTACTAGCTAGGCAGACAGCAGTAGCCGAAACCTAACCAGCATCACACTAGAATCAATGTAACAGGCTCCCTGAAAATACTCTCTTTTGAAAATGTCTCTTTGTAGCATATTACATATTCTATATGTTCCTATTCAAATAAATATTAAGGTGTGGATGTCTAATGAGTTAAAAAGAACAGATGGTGTTTGCTATTCTGTACCTTGAGGATTCAGGAATGTGCTGTATAGTGAGATTGGGGTCCTTATATGGGGAGTTTCCTTATATGGCCAGAGTCTAAATTAAAAGTTATGACGTCATTTTGCCTATAAAGAACCACGTTCTCTTTCTCCTACGCTCTGCTCTCCTCGTGTGTCCCTGACTTGCAGATATTGAGACTACTTCTTAAGATCTATCAGTCTCTGTAAGGTCGTTAGAAAGACTTATTCAACTGAGAAAACACATTTCAAACTGTTGTGTGGTTGATCTTGAGTGACATGAACAGATGACAATAAGTGTTGTAAGCTCTTGAGACACAGAACATCAAGAGCAGAGTGTCTTTGCACTCAATGTCCAGCATGTACCACCAGCTGTTGACCTATTTAACATCAATGACATTGTAAGTACTGACTATGTATTTGCGAAGCAAGAAGAGTAAATCTCTTTTATAAGAAAAGCCAGGAATGACTGATATGCATGATACAAGGCGAGCCACCCAACAATAAGAAAGAAGAATTTACATACGTATGAATAAGGATCAAGCATAATAATTATTTTAAAAGTTCATTTTTCCACACTCCCACACAGGCACAGCAAGGGCAAAACCAGGCAATCACTGTATCACTGCGCCTAGAACAGAATTGGCAACTTTCTGCACTCCAGATACTGTGGACTACATTTCCCATAATGCTCTTAAAGCCATAATAGTGACAAAGCATCAGGGGAGTTGTAGTCCAAAACATTAGTGCCAAAGGTTTTCTTACCCTGGTCTGAAATAATCTTGCATATATGTAACATTCACCAGCTTACCAGGAGTTGGAGCCCAGTTGCAGGAGATGGCACAGGAAGCAGGAAAATTTCCAAAACACAGTACAGATTAAGGGAAAATCCAAAGGCAGGGTCAGACGAGAAGCAGAAGTCAGGGGAGTAACAAAGTCGGTAAATCAGGCAGAGGTCAGAGTCCAGGAAATCAGTCAGTAGCAAATCAAAGATCCGGCAGGAAACACCAAACAGGCAAAATGATGCTAGATTTCAGGCAGGGCTGGCTTTTACAGCCTTTTAATTACGTGCAGCTAACCCTAATTGGAAAAGGGCTGCAGGTGGATCAGTGCTGCTTAATCCAGGCAAAGGGGTCAGGAAGCAGAAAAATGCAGACAGAAACTGAAGCCCCCTGGTGGATGTCATGGCAGAGAACTGACTGGCATGCTGGAGCAGAGAGTTCAAACCCAGCCAGGTCTACAGCGCTCGGGCTGTGCCATGACATGGCATTATCTAGTCCAGTTCAGGTTCAGGTTCAGACAGGAAATCCAGGTCGGTATAGGCATCAGAATCATCAGGATCTGAGAGGGTTGGAACATTTTGCAGATTGTTATTCTTTGAGAAGACAGTGGAGGCGAGAAGGGGATGCAGCTCTGGCCTTAAGAGCCTGCTCAAAGACCTTTAGATCTTGCCTACAGACCACGGTTCCATTGGAGGCAATTACACTGTCTGGGGACAGATCCTCTGTGTTAGAGCAGGAAACTTTAGGGGAGACAGAAGCTGAGGTAGCCACAGCAGCTTCCTTTTGAGGCTCTGGAACAGGGTTAGCCAGGGCTGTGATGGTCCCATTGGTCTGGTTAGGTGGTCTTTGCGGTCCAGTAGCATGCAGAGTTGAACAAAAAAGGGGCCATGATGGACTTGTAGGATGGTGACACAGAGTCTCCACATGGCTATGTTTAGGGCGAGGAGGACATATCGGGCAATAGCTGATGTAGTGACCTCCCTTGCCACAATAGAAGCAAAGGCCTTTGGCACTCCTTCTGGCTTTTTCCATTTACCGTGAGCATGGTATTCAGTGTTCCAAATTTCATGGGTTCCTCTGTGTCCATGGTGGGGATATGGGTATAAGTCTCACCAGCAGGTTTGGAACGTTGATGGGGCAAAAAGCTGGTTTCAATTACCATCTTACAATCTCTGACTTATTTTCGGCTTCAGTAACACTTTTTTATATCTTTACATCACTGAATTCTTATTTACATTAGGCATTTCTTTTTTATCCCTTCTGATATACTTTATACATATCCTGATTCTTGTATTAAATTAGGTTTTTATCCCTCCTTCTCTATAAAGAAGAAAAAAAAAAAAAAAATATAGATAAAATAAAAATGTACATTTAATTATTTAAAAATGCTGTTTTCAAATTGCTCCTGCTTTCTTTCTCTGAACCAGCGATCTAGCTGGGTGACCAGAAGGAACAGATCTTCCAATGAAGTGGGTACCCCAACTCTGGCTAGTTCATCTTTAAATGCCTCAGACAGACCCAATCTGTATTGCTCTATTAGACCAGTCTCATTATAACCGGTATCAGAAGCTAATGCTCCACTGGTCTTCCTTGCCAGAGGGAACGGAGGGCAGTACGTGCAGCAGAGGGTCTCAGGGTGTCATTGTATAATGTACGCATTGCTGCAGCAAAGGAGTCCCATGAGTCCAGTATTGAACTGTTTGAGTGCAGGAGTTGGTGTGCCCAGGTTTGGGGTTTACCCGACAGCAGGGCAATAGTAGTGCGAACCTTCACATAATCATTGGGGTATGTGCATGGTTTTAAAATGAAGAGCAGTTCGCAGGCTGTGATAAATGATTGTAGTTCAGTCCTTTTCCCAGTGAACTTGTCAGGTAATGCAATACCAGGTTCAGAAGCATGGTGTGTGTTCCCCTTTAACTCAGCAAAATCACACTGCAATTCACTTACGGTTTGAGACAGGAGGGTCACTTGCTGTGTGAGGGTACTCAGGACATTCATCATCTCCGCGGGCTCCATGGTAGTCAATCTGGTCATTATGTAACAGTCACCAGTGGACTTATGGAACAGTTTACCAGGAGATGGCACAGGAAGCAGGCAAAACACAGTACAGATAAAGGGAAAATCCAAAGGCAGGGTCAGGTGAGAAGCAGAAGTCAGGGCTGGCAGCGGAGTAACAGAGTAACAAAGTCGGTAAATCGGTCAGAGTCCAGGAAATCAGTCCGTAGCAAATCAAAGATCCAGCAGGAAACACCAAACAGGCAAAATGACTACATGCTAGGTTTCAGGCAGGGCTGGCTTCTACAGCCTGCTAATTACGTGCAGCTGACCCTAATTGGAAAAGGGCTGCAGGTGGAGCAGTGCTGCTTAATCCAGGCAAGGGGCTCAGGAAGCAGAAAAAAAAATGCTGACAGATGGCAGAGAACCTGGCAGAGAACCTAACTGTGATGCTGGAGCAGAGAGTTCAAACCCAGCCAGGTCTCTCAAAGGGGCAGTCATGCCTTAATGTCTGCAGGGCTTGTGCTGTGCCATGACAATATACAAGAGTTCATTGGGTAGATTTTGACACCTGAAACAGATCTCTGTAGGACTTTATTTCTGTTTTCTGCGAAGGTTGGACAAAATCAATATTGATTAGAATTACAATATAACTACTCCACATGGACCTTTAGATTTTAAAACTATACAAACTATTTAAAATCTGATTAAAGTCTAAAATCTGATATTCCACTACTTTTGAATCTTTCACTGTCTTCAATTCAGAAGATCGCAATTTGTCTCAACCAACCGTGACCTTAGCACTACACCCTCTAGGTTATGATGTCGACACAAAATCCAGCCGCTACTTATTAAACATATATAGTTTTTTTTTTTTTTGTATTTACAGCTCCCATTTTCCTTCTATTTGTCACTTCTCTAATAAAATTATCATCTAGCAGTTGTAAACAGACACTATTTTACAAAATAATGACAAATAGTGAGTGTGTAGCGCTAAATAGGTTAACACTTACTCCTAAGGGTTAAGGGATGTGGGGTGGTAGAAAATCCCTAAAGGGGACAAATTAAATAAAATATAAAATATAGTATAGTACAGTTGTGAACAAGTGGTGAGGATAATTCTTTATTGGAGTCACTTACTAGCGGGTATGTACCGTTGTAGACACTGCATCAATTGTAATGGAGTAATCACGGGTGATCATTTTTTACATCCTAGGACTGGTAGGAGATATGCAATTCATGAGTTCTGTAATTGCCAATCTGAGTTTGTGGTATTTATGTTGAAGTGCCTGTGTGACTTAGCATATGTGGGCGAGACCACACGGATATTTACCACAAGGATTATAGAAGTATCAGGACTAATAAAATCCAATATCCTGTGGCTCGGCATTTGGAAAATAAGCATACGGTCTCACAATTACGATACATGACACTACAATCAGTAAAACCCCCTAAGAGGGGTGGCTCAAGAGAAGTCATGTTGAAACGATGAGAGTTATATTGGATATATACGTTGCAAACGCTGTACCCAAAGGGTCTTATTGAGGAGAGAGATTTCTCTCCCTTTTTGTGATGTTAGTGTCATGTTTTTTCTTTAACAAATGCCAAACAAAAAAATAAGAACCACTCACTTTTTATTTTGAGGCAGTTTCAGCACGGCAAACTGATGTGGCAGCAAAGCATAGAGAAAAAAACTGACAGTCCTTGAAAATAGAAGTTTAGGTGATGTGTCCAGGATTAGTCCATAAGCAATGTCCTTTATCCAGTCCAAGGTCGTTCAATAGGAGATCAAGCAGTATTGAAGGAAATTCCACAAGCAGAGTCAAGGCCAGTCCAAATTAGTTAACCAGATAATCCAAGTTATAGTTGCATGAAGAGGAGATTCAGAAGGGATCCGGTGACTGAAAGGGTTAATGTTGTAATGGACTCTAATCCCCTCGGTTCTCGATCCCTCGGTCACCATAATCAATGTTGATGGAGAATCATTTGTAAGCAATAACACACGGACAACAGCTTTACAAGACTCTCAAATGAGTGTATTCCAGAGCTGGCTTTTATACATAGTTTGCTTACATTAGCCATGGTATATGCAAATACAGTACAGACTATAAGATTTATTACTTCCTTGTATTACGTTATTCTGACAATGGAAAGATAAGCTTTTGCATACGTCTGGAAAAGAATATCCTGAAATCGGAATGGGCAAGACATCCTGAAATTTTAGCATTGTCTTACATCCTATAGAAGAAATACCTTAGTCTGTCACAGTCAGCATATTGACTTTAAGTATTCAATATTCCTTCAGTCAGCAATAATCATGTTATAAACCTTATAAAAGCATAAAATACATATAAACAAGTTAACTATTTAATATTCTTACATTCCCCTCTTTGAGCAATAAAACAATTGCTCATCTTATCGATAAAATCTTACCAGGACAGAGAAACTTCCACATGGTATTTTCAGGGGTGCTAGTCACTCCCTGCGGGACTTTCATTAATTTCTTCACCTCGATTCCCATGTGGTAATTCCTAAGGCCCAGTTTAAAGATGGGTTGATACTCTACAGTGGCAGAGAGGAGAATTTCTAATTGTTTCTGTTCTGCATTATGGATTCATTTCTGTACTCACTTCCTCAATGTACAAGTAAGGTGATAGTTATATAAAATCATGCACAATAAAATCAGGACTATAATAACAAAAGGATAGAAGAATGATTTCATTATCTGGGATCCAGTAGGGGACCAACCAGTAAAGCATTGTACCAATGATGGGCTAAATCATTCTGAATTTGTGAACTCACCTTAAGGAGTTCTCCTTTTAGGATATGTGTGGCTACCTGTGTGTGTTATCTTTGGGAAAAATATAGTCCCCTGTGTATGTGGGTGCCCACCAGGTTAAATTCTTGGCAAAAAGATCATAAACTGGTACTGGTAATGTGTTAAATTGACAAGCTAATTTAACATCCTTTGATGATGTATGATATAATGTAAAATAACATGAGCATGAAAAATGTGAAACATTACCAGTTAACCATCCATTGCATTTAGTGGATTGGGGTTTTAGAAGTAACCATTCATTATCTGTGAGGTTAAGCTTTCCTCTAATCTTCTCTAGTTTAGGAATCATTAGTGTGTTTTCTAATGCCAATCCTTGTTGTTGTATCCATAAATACCTGATGGCACAAGTACTCCAGTTACTTAGACCTGTAGTGAATTTCATAGTTGCAACAGTTAAATTATCTAAATAATTATACATTGATTTATCTAAATCCAATCCTATAACCTGTGATTTAACAACAATTGGAGCCCAATTTGCAGTAGCATGGAAACCAGTCCCTATATGCATACTGGCTGTGTTTAACTTATTCTTGAGGGTCTCCATATCTATAACTATTTAATATACCCATAGTGGTTCCAGCACCTCCTAACAGTGTGTCATACCATTCCCTTTTCTGCCTTTGTTTGTTGTATTACATAATGTTACAACAAGAGTAGTGACTTTTAATGACACATGTACAGCTTGTAAGAAGGCAGTTGTATTAATACATGTGGACGAAATAGGTGTGTGTGTGTCGTGTTTGACTTTTGGTTCTATGGTAGAGGATAAAGGACAGTAATAAGGTGTAAAAATATAAGGTAGTGTATAGTTCTCAATTGTAGTGTCGTTCATAATGACTAACATTTGTCCCCTTCTCCAATTAATGATACCAGTTATATAATCATTATTAAAAGTAATAAGGCCTGTCTGTTTACATTGATATGCAACCTTAACTGTGCACATTTCTGCGTTATAAGATCTAACAATTTTCTGTGAACCTTTAAACAAACATAATGCATCGGTTTCATTAGCTGTAGACACATTTCATATGGGTAACTGGTACTTATAAGGGTTACTATTTGTCCAATTCATCCAAATGCGTTCAGTAAATGAATGATTGCATATTGCATGCTGATAGAAAGGTGGTGGAGAAAGGTTCTTGAGGGGGCGTGTGTGACGAATGCTAGATGAGGGGCTAAGGCCTAATTGGGCTGGGGGTATTGAAGAATTGTTCATCATGTCAGAGTCTTTTTCCAGAACTTGCCATTGACTTGTACTCATAATGGCATTCAAGGAACAATATCAGAGGGAGTATAACAACTCCAGAAAGCATAGCGCACAACATAATCTTGGTCTCAGGTACGTATGATCCTCTCAATCTACGATATGGTGTAAAAGCCATGATGCTTCGCTGAGGAGAAATTCTTCTGTTTCCGAGCGAGGAGTGGTGTTGTCTTCCTTGGTTCCCCTCTTTGGACACAGCTTCACTCGGGATGCGTGAATCCAGATGTCATGGGAATCTGTGGACAGCGGTTCTGGGTACAGCAATCACAGTAGCAGGTGGTCCAAAAGGGTATCCTCCTTTCTTGGTCCTGTTCAGCTGACGGATATACACCTTGTCACCGGGCTGGTATGAATGAGTAGGTTCCTGTGAAGGTAAGGGAAAACTGCGAAGAAACATTGTCATACATACCATTCGGTTTTATCAACAATTCACCTTGTGGGGATATATTCTTATCTCAGCTAAAATAGCTGGTAGATATCTAGTCCAATTTACCCATGTTCCTGGGTAAATTCTGGGCTTTTCCTTAATAGTCCTATTCATCCTTTCAACTACCACTGTATTCTGTGGATGATAGGGTATATGAAACTGCCAGGTAACTTGCAAGAATTTAGCAAGTTCCTGGGCAACCCCACTTGCAAAAACCGGGCCATTATCAGAGCCAATCTGCAGAGGGCAGCAATACCGGGGAATAATTTCAGTAACAATAATCTTCACTAGCATCCTCCCTAGATGTCACAAAGGCATCATGCCATCCACTAAACTGATTAACTATGACCAGTAAGTATTGCTGTTTCTTACCAATTTTGGATACATGAATAAAATCAATCTGTAAGTGTGTAAAAAGAGCAGCGTTCACACGATCTTACAAAAGACTGTACATGCTGCCTGAGATTCCTAATATAAAATGAATTCATGAAGAATTGAATGGTGCTTGCTATGTGCCTGACTGATGAAAATAAATCAGCTTGCTTCAAGTATGCCTATTCTTCAAGTATGCCTATTCTCCCCTCTTTAGAGAACAGATCATTTTGATCTTTCTCTAAACCTTATTTAATCCAAAAGACAGATTCTGGGTATTAAAAAAAAAAAAGAATCTCATAACCACTGAAGCGCTGGGCTGTCATGTGTTGTGTGGTGAGATTTGTCAGCTGAGTGACCTGGTGACTGGCATGAAGTATTGTAGGATGCCCTAGTGTGATAGTAGTAGCAGTTTCAACAGCCATTGCACATGCTATCAATGCTCTGAGACACGCCGGCATACCCTGTACCGGAGCTCGAACTACTTTGGAAAAGAATGCTATGGGACGCATACCGCCTCCTTGCTCTTGTGCACAGACCGCGGCCATGGTTTTACAATTGTCCCAAGCATACAAATGAAATGGTTTACAATACACAGGTAGTCCTAAAGCCTGGGCTTGCACAATAACAACTGTAAGGGCAATATATGCAGATAGCATGTCTGGTGACCAGCAGACATTTTCAGGGCTGTCAGAACGTACAGCCTCCCTTAGGATTGAGTCATAATGGGAGCATTCAGGGATCCATTGGTGGCAGTAATTAATCATGCCGAGGAAGGTGAGCAACTCCTTCCGAGTAGTGGGTGTAGGAATCCTCTGAATGACCTCAATACGTTTTGGACTCAATTGTCTGGTGCCTAAAGCCAGAACAAAACCTAAGTATTCAACCTTTGATTTACACAATTGCATTTTGTGTTTAACAACCTTGTGACCCACAGTTGCTGACATTATCCACAGTGCTTGCCTCATAGCTAGGGCTACATAACAACAAATCATCAACATTTTGCAAAAAGGACGGAACCATGACCGGTGGTCCATGTTTTTTAGAGTATGTTGGAGTACCAACGAATAAACAGCTGGGGAATCCACATAGCCTTGGGTAAGCGTGTCCAGGTAAACTGACAGCCTTCAAAAAGTAAAAACCATAAGTAGCTGTGTCTCTTGATCAATAGGTATAGAAAAAATGCATTACTTAAATCAATGACAGTGAAGCAAGTGGCATCATGTGGAATGGCTGTAATGAGGGATGTCACATCAGGGACAATGGGTGAAATGGGCACAATTAAACTATTCAGGGCTCTAAAGTCCTGAACTAAGCGATATGCTGGCCAGTGGTGTTGGGAGTGGGTCTGGTGTTGTTCTTGCCTACCGGGCATATTTTGAGAATTGTGGGGTTGTTGGGGTGTGTGGGGTTTCCTGGGGTGTGGACACTCATTCCTCCAGTGGCCACAGTTGAAACAAGTGTTCCTGTCTATTCCTCCTTGGTTACCCCTGCCCCTATAACCCTGATTTCCCTGTCTCCATCCCCTTGCCCCTCTTTGACCACCCCTTCCACGGGCTTTATGTGCTCCATCCCATCCTCGCTCTCAGCCTGTGTAGCTGGACATAATATGTTGCAATCCCTGAGCATAATAAGCAACCTTACTTTCCTAAATCTTTTCTTAATTCAAAACAACCTGCATTTTCCTTTTCTATAACCTTGGTAAGAAAATCTGAGCTATCCAAATTGGCCCAGTCTGAAATCAATTGTTTGACAAGCAAATAATACTGTGGCAACATATTACCAAGGCATGACTGTATTTTAAAGAGATCTATATCATCTCCAGACATCAAACCTGCCTCATCCTTCCAACACTTGTAAAATTTCTTTACAAAAATCATATTACCAATCTCTTCCTTTGCATCTTGCTTATATGCCAAAGCAGTGAATATAGACTACCTATTCTTCCATAATCCCAACATTTCAGCTTCCACCTTGTTCCAAATTTTAGCACATCTTACTGAAGTACTAAGCTCATAATCACCAATTCATTTCAAACCATATAACTCATACTCAGCATCCAATGTAATATTAGTCATCTCATAAAACAATATCTTTGTAGAAACACATAATGGGTACCCAGCAGATATGCCAATACAGAAATCACATTTATGGGCACACAACTACACACTCTGTCTCCCTCCTAGGAAACACGGATAGACACAATATAAAAGCAATCTTAAACTAACACCTCCAAATCTCCAACTATTCTTGGCCAAAACGCTAGTATTCAACAACTAATAAAACAGTTATTTGCTAGGTTATTTGGCTGTCATTCTTATCAGTATCACTAGACTGTGACAAACTGATTCACATATAATTTAAAACAATACAGCAACATATAAATTAAACCACTTTCAAGTTAAACTGCACACTTATCACACATTATCACAGTCACCATTTACACAGAATAAACAGCTGTATTCAGAACATATTATTGGAAGGTATACCAATTTTAGTTTAGATTTATTTTAGGGATTCTTATGTATACATTTTCTTAATTAACTTCATTACTTTAATCTACTATAGTATTGTATTTAAAGAAAGGATCCATTTATATAGCGCGCTCATAACTCAACTATTTGTATAAAACTACCATTAACTAATCTGAGATGATGCTGCATCAACTTAAATCTTACAGAAATTGAACAAACATCTGGACCAGATTAAACAGACATGGTTTCACCTGAATCTTTCAGAACTCTCAGAGACTTAAAAATTTATACTGTACCATGTTTTAAAGGCATGGCAAACCTTTAGACCGGTCAGTCTCCAAGAGCCCTTAGTAACACAGGTAAAAACCTTTGTCCATGATGTCTGATTCAGGCTATATACCACAATTTAAAAATAACACATAATGTGAGACATAGAAGACACAAGCAGTAGTTATTACACTGGATCATTTAAAAGGAACCTGTTGCAATAAAAAGGTTAGTTTACAGTGCAAAATAAAGCATGTGTTGGACCGCTGAAAATGTAAATGTTGCTCTGTTATTTTCAAACAAAAATTATATTTACATTATGGATCCTTTGCAACAAACACACAGGGCAGGGAAGATGTGCTGATTGGTGTTTCTATACAATTAATCCCATATGGGGAATTAACTTTCAAATACTAATGAAATGACTTTTTGTCTCAGTTATAAAATATACTGAGCTCATCATGCAAACAATGCAACACATTTACACTATCCCACTCTCATAATAAGTGTAGTGGGCTTATAGTATTTTTAAAGCAACAATCATACCAGGCACACAGTTCCCATGTGAAATAACTTACAATAAAACAGAGTAATAAACTTATACTTCTATGCGACAGAAAGAATAAAGCAAAAAGATTTAAGTAGGTCTATCAGGTACAACCTATGAGTCATTTCTTTTCTAATATACAGTACTGCTATCTTGCAGAAAGATAAGTCCTGCGCTCACTCCCATCACTACTGGGCAGCAGCAAGGACTACAGTACACATCAGCCCCAATATATGGTAAAAACCAAAGAAAAACAAGTTACCTGCATTCTCTCCTTAATCCCTATGTATTTTTAAAACCTCCATTTGTTTAAAAGTACTGCTATCTTATATATACACATATACATATACACACACATATATACATACATATACACATATATACATACACACACATATACATACATATATTGGTCACTCAGGACATGAACTCACATTTCCCATACTGCTGATTCAGAGTGGGGACACTACTAACTTACCAAAGTGTGTCCCCAATATAGACAATCAATCACCCACAAAAAACACTTAAGACAAACAAAGGTGACCGGGAGAAAGAGAAGTTTGGGTTATACTTAAAGATCTACAAACCGTGCTGCTCAGAACACCTATAGACTTAATAAACCAGAGACCTCTTATGGTCTCAAAACCTGTATCTACCTGAGATACCCTGTATCTATCTTAGATACTAACCTGGGTTACCAAAACCCTATAATAAACCGGAGACCTCTTATGGTCTCAAAAACCTGTATCTATCTTAGATACTAACCTGGGTTACCAAAACCCTATATATATTTAGACCAAATGTCTAATAAACCGGAGACCTCTTATAGTCTCAATATAACTAGAGTCCTTACACCTTTCCTATCTACTGGATACAGACTTACTGAACCAAAGGGGGGTCATAGACAATCAGCGTCAAATAAGACACAAAAAGGCTACTCACCGCAAATGGTTTTGCTGATCCAACTTCTATCCCACTTCTAGACACCAAGCTGAAAGGGTTAATGTTGTAATGGACTCTAATCCCCTCGGTTCTCGATCCCTCGGTCACCATATCAACGTTGATGGGAGAATCATTTGTAAGCAATAACACACGGAAACAGCTTTACAAGACTCTCAAATGAGTGTATTCCAGAGAGCTGCTTTATACAGTTTTGCTTTACATTAGCATGGTATATGCAAATACAGTACAGACTATAAGATTTATTACTTCCTTGTATTACGTTATTCTGACAATGGAAAGATAAGCTTTTGCATACGTCTGGAAAAGAATATCCTGAAATCGGAATGGGCAAGACATCCTGAAATTTTAGCATTGTCTTACATCCTATAGAAGAAATACCTTAGTCTGTCACAGTCAGCATATTGACTTTAAGTATTCAATATTCCTTCAGTCAGCAATAATCATGTTATAAACCTTATAAAAGCATAAAATACATATAAACAAGTTAACTATTTAATATTCTTACAGTGACGGAACACACGGTCTCTCGAAGAGTGATCCAAAGGATTAGGAGGGAACTTCATGCAATCGGTCAGATTAACACATTAAGTGTGCCCTGAGCTGTTGGAGATTGGAGTTTAACCCCTTAGGGACACATGACATGTGTGACATGTCATGATTCCCTTTTATTCCAGAAGTTTGGTCCTTAAGGGGTTAAATAGCCAAAGGGGCTTGTATGTTCATGTCAACTATTTTGGTATCATATATGCTCTGCCTACATATGGTTTGTATCATCGTGTTTTTAATTTTACAATGTTTTTTAGACGTCGGTGCAATGTTACCTATTGGGACATGATCCTAGATATTAGAGGATCGAATGTGAATTGATACCAAACAATGTGGTTACACGTGTAGCTGGAGGATCATTTTGGAACACAATGAATATGGAACGCAAGGGATATGGATACTCACACAGCAACTGTTATGTGCTGGGTATACGTATTATGTGATGGACCATGGAGTTTTGTCTTGATGTAGTATGTTATATAATTAAGTAATATGACCTTTAGTCAATTGGTTTATATGGCTGTATTTGAATGGATATGTGTTGAATGGATATGGATACGTGTTTTTAATATCCATGGTGCTTAATACTACGAGCATATTTTGGTATAGCTATAATTCTATATGTATGAAAAACATTTTTTACATGGATTGTACTGTAATTATATGATACTATTGTAATTAGATCAGGTCATTTTATGTAAATAATCGTAAAATAAATGTGGAATTCTGTATATTAGTGAAGTAATTTAGATACGCCTTTAACACTGTCCTGTAATATATGTGTTTGTTTGTTTGTTTTTGTTCTAATGGGTTACTTTTGCACTGGGTGTAATTTTAATCAATATATTTTGCACTTATGAGTGTCAATATATTGTAAAGATGCCCTTTAACTTATAGAAATTGGCCTTTTTAAAATTATATGTTTTAGTATACCCTGTGTGCTTTTGTTTTTTTGAGTTTCTTTCAAAGGACACTATACTGTGATCACTATTTGCCAAGTGCTTACCTACTTGAATGTTGGTCAAAGGATCAACGTTGTTTGTTAGAATCAGGTCCAGACAAGCGTCCTTTCTAGTTGGTGCTTGTACAAGTTGTGACATGAAGATGTCATTTAACAAGTTCAAAAACCTATGATATGTACTGATACCGGAAGTGATGATGTCACTTCCGGTGTTGGCTATGATTGAATACTGATGGCCATCAGCTGTTCAGGGGGATATAAGCGAACACATGTATGCACAGATACAGATGCTCTTGATAAATGCAGCAAGTTGGTGCCAAGACATTGGGGGGTATTGGTGACTCGTGTTTCTGACTGACAGGCTTGTGAAAGTTTGACTGTAGTTGTGGGAGGGATTTAGGCCTATATAAACACAGCAAACCCCAGGCTTACCTGTCTTCGTCGATTCCAGAAATTCTCTTCGCTTCTGGTTCATGCAGACCTTTGACGTCATTTTACAGCGACGCGCCTAAACGACGGTCAGGAACTTCCGCGCAAATTCGTGAGTAAAAGACACGAACGGCAATTGGCAAGCCAGCGTAACTGTGAGTCTCAAAATTCTAATTCATGTAACCTTTCGAACCTAATCAGCCGGCAAAACGTTTGCGAGAACATTCGCATAATACATGGCATAGAACAAGTACTAACACCATTCGTATGTTCTTTCATTAAAAAAAACTGCATTCGGTTTGGCTAAATCTTACGCATTAAATGGCTCATGGCAATTTCTCAGCTTGAATATCTCGTACAGTACTGAGCTCACCAAGTATACAATTGGAGCGAGTTTTAAATGTACACAAATACAGTATATCAATCTTATGCTTCTGGGTTTAACTAAAAGCAGGATGTAAATTTAGGACTAGCAGGGCACCTGTTTTCTGCAATTTAACATGATAATAGATGTTTTTTAAATGCTTTATTTTGTGTGGGAGAGGAATGATGGCCCTTTTTCTGGAAAAAAATTTTTAAGAAATAAGCTCACAATCCTCTACTGTCCATAGAACAAAAACTTACTAAAATCATTTATTTGTCCAAGGTTCAAAATTAATTTTCTTCATATCTCCATATATCTCAAGCCAATATCCACAACACTTTCCATGAACTTGTGAAGCGATATTGTAAAAAGATATCATGCAATGGCTCATACATTATATATATATATGCATTTCGTATATCAGCTCAAGTCGTTACTAACGTATCAAGTCAAGGAGTTTCCTGGTAAATTATTCTCATTTCATTTTAGGGATAAAAATTACACAAGTACGGTTTGGTTAGTAATAATCCTTCTAAGATTTCTTTCTCTCCTTCTTCCTTCTTTCACTCCGCTAAACTAATAATATAATTTCAACAGGTTCATAATATTCAGAACCACAGCCAAGTCACAAATCATATTAATAGAAGCACAATTAATCACATAATTTATACTTATAATGAGTTAAAAAAAAATACTAATCAGTCTACTTTAGACTCTCCCCCTCCCTCCTCCTGTGTAGTGATGTACCGAACTGTTCGCTGGCGAATAGTTCCCGGCGAACATAGCGTGTTCGCGATCGCCGCCGCGGGCGAACACATGCGCGGTTCGATCTGCCTCCTATTCGTCATCATTGAGCAAACTTTGACCCTGTGCCTCACGGTCAGCAGACACATTCCAGCAAATTAGCAGCAGACCCTCCCTTCTAGACCCTCCCACCTCCCTCCCAGCATCCATTTTAGATTCATTCTGAAGCTGCATGCTTAGTGAGAGGAGGGAAAGTGTAGCTGCTGCTCATTAGATAGGGAAATTGATAGCTAGGCTAGGGTATTCAGTGTCCACTACAGTCCTGAAGGACTCATCTGATCTCTGCTGTAAGGACAGCACTCCAAAAAGCCCTTTTTAGGGCTGGAACATCAGTCTGCTTTTTTTTTTTTCTGTGTAATGTAATTGCAGTTGCCTGCCTGCCAGCTTCTGTGTCAGGCTCACAGTGGATACTGTGCCCATTTGCCCAGTCAGTGCCACCACTCATTTCTGGTGTCACAATAGCTTATGCTTGACATTTAAAAAGAAAAAAATGTTTTTCACTGTAATATATTGACTAGCAGTTAGTTGCCTGCCAGCTTCTGTGTCAGGCTCACAGTGGATACTGTGCCCATTTGCCCAGTCAGTGCCACCACTCATATCTGGTGTCACAATAGCTTAAGCTTGACATTTAAAAATAAATTATTTTTTTTCACTGTAATAGATTGAATAGCAGTTACTTGTCTGCCAGCTTCTGTGTCAGGCTCACAGTGGATACTGTGCCCATTTGCCCCGTGCCACGACTCATATCTGGTGTCACAATAGCTTAAGCTTGACATTTAAAAAGAAAAAAAAAAATTCACTGTCATAGATTGAATAGCAGTTAGTTGTCTGCAAGTGTCTGGGTGTCAGGCCTCCTTCATCGTGTGCTCTGCAGACCTTTGCCCGTGTACTTTGCCACTCATATCTGGTGTCTCTATAGCGTGCTTTTACAAAGAAAAAAAGTTTTTCAGTGTAAGCTAATAGCAGTCAGTG